CCAACTAGCTGGGCACGGTGGCACACGCCTGAAATCACAGCACGCGGGAGGCTGAGGCAAGAAGATCGTTGTGAGTTTAAGGCAAGCCTGAGTGACACAGCAAGACCCCGTCTCAAAACAAAACAGTATCACCAACGAGACTTAACCTGGTACCTGGCTTACTTAGGGTAGGCAGCCATATATATATAAAAATAAAATATTACTGCCTGTTCCTAATTTGGGCAGCATTTTACAAAACAGCTCCAATGTCACTTTCTCTCCGCGGCATACCTTGTCTATGAATTCCTGCATCACAGAAGCAACCTCTGTGGAGCCTTGGGTCCAGGGGGGCTACTTGCTCTTTTCTTCCTTTTTCCCAGGATGCAGAGGCTCAGGAATGACAGCCAAATGGGAAGAACACGGTGCAGGCAGAACTGGGGTCCAGCAACCTACGCTCCTGGCCACCACCCGGGGTTCCGCTCTTTACCAGGGCAGGCTACACAGGCTCTGCTCTGTCCAGCCCTGGCAGAAGGCCCCATACTCGGTCCAGTGCTCCACGGTCACCACCTTGCAGTTCGTTCTCCTGTGAACTACAGCTGGGACCGCAGGTTGCGCACTGCGACTGACTATGACACTCCTCATAATACCTGAGCATGGGCCCCACAGGCTGGCTCTGCACTGCGCACTGTGCTCCCTTCCCGCAAGACTCAAAACTGAGTCATCTCTTCTGGAAGGACACCATCAGCTCCTCTCTGACCGGCCCCTAACCCCCGAGGTTCACGAGAGGGGGCGGGGAAGGACTCTCCCTCCCAGGCAGAGCATCATGTGGGACTCGCTGCTTTCAACTGCCCGGCACTGTGCTCAGAAGCAGGAAGGTGCTATCAGGAAAGGGCCACCAGGCTCAAGCCATGCATGTATAATCACTGGTGACTTTCCTGTGATCATCTGCTTGCAGGCCAGGATGCCTCCCTGGTTGATAATTTCCACAAAGCTCCAAATCCTCATGTTTATCCGAGTAATGCGGAAATCTACCATGTATGTGACCCATGATGGAGCCTTAAATGTTTCTTAAAAGAATGATAAAATTTCCACGTGGATAGCTAACTTTATTGCCAAAATACTTCAAAAAAGCCAGGCATGGTGGTGCACGCCTGTAATCCCAGCACTCGGGAGACTGAGGCAGGAGGATCATTGTGAGTTTGTGGCCAGCCTGGGCTACAAAGTGAGCTCAAAGCCAGCCTGAACTGCATAGTGAGACCCTGTCTCAAAAAGACCAAAAAAAAAAAAAATCAATATTTCTTATTGAGCCATAAAAGCTGCATTAGAAAATAATGCAATTATTGTGTTGTTTTAAATACAATTTGAACAAAATAAGACAAAACGTGGGAGGCAACTGTTAAAAGAAACTCTGTTGACTGATTATAATCCTGTCCCACCTTAAACCCGCCTCACTTCGTGGCTTTGCTCAGTAAACATCCTTGAGAAGCGGGCTTGGTGGGCAACCTACCTTCTGGGCTCCCTTCTGTCCCTCTTAGACAGAAACTTTCTGTCAATAAATGCCTCCTGGAAGGAAGGACGGAAGGGAGGGAGGGGGGAGGGGAGAAAGAAACTGACAAAGGCTGGCTGTGCTGTTCAGTGGTAGAGACCAGCAACAGCACCTGGGAGGCCCTGGGTTCAGTGGGGGAGGGGGGACAAATAAACAAACAAACCTGTCATCCACTTCTCCCAGTGGTGAGTTCCTCCTTAGCCAAGCTGTTAGCTCAGTTGTTTAAAATCAGATCGTTTTCTCAGAATAAGTTTGAAAGATCCGCAAGTTGATTAAGTTAAAAGCCTTTAAAACTTTGGCCATATTACAACAAGAATCTGCACCACTGGCATTTTTCAAGTGTATTAGTTCCTGCCCAAAGTGCACATCCTGAATCAAATTTTGAGGCAACATCAGATAAATACAAATCGGGACAAATGACACAGTGACTGGCCTGCAACTGGCCTGTCCTCTTCAAAAACGTCGATTTCAACATCAGGCAAGATAACAAAACCCAGGAGCTGGGCCAGGTTAGAGGTGGCTGAGGAGGAGGACAGCTAAATGTCCTGGACTAGACCAGGAAAAAATACATAAAGGGCATTTTCAGGACAAATGGCAAAACATAAAGACTGTGAATTAGAGCCATAGTACTGTATTTCCAGGTGGGAAACTTCCTGATGTTGATAATTGCAGTTATGTAACAGAAATGTGCTATTAGGATGAAACACGGAAGTATTCAGGGATAAAAAGGAATCACGTCCAGCCAGGCACTGTGGCCCATGCCTGTAATCCCAGCTACTTGCAGGGCTGAGGCAGGAGGATCATAAGTTCGAGGCCAACTTGGCTAATTTAGCAAGATCCCGCCTCAAAAACTAAAACAGGGCTGGTAAGGTAGCTCAGTGGTAGGGTGCCCCTGGGTTCAATCCCCAGTACTGAAAACGGGGAAAAAAAAAAAAAA